CCCCCTGGGGGGACAAACAAAAAAAAACAAAACTTGGTTTCACCAACTCTATGTCCCCATATCCTGCACTATACCTTCACTCAGTCCTGATGAACAAAACAGACAAAGGCAAGATGGAAAAAAAGAAAAAGAGGAAGGAAAAAATGAAAGCACTTGGATTATTTACAAACTAGTTTTTATAATTAGAATAGGTAATATTAAAATGTTAAGCCAAATGTCAAAAATTAGAATTAGCCAAGACCATAGAAAATTTAGGGTAGTTGGCTAGAATCATTTGCAATGATAAAAATGTACATAAAATTTAAATGAGCTACAAAACAAATATGCTGGTTTTTCATAATGCTAATGCACAATGTGTACCATATTTATAGCCTCAATAGTCAGAAATGTACACAATTTTTTAAATGGATAATGTAATGAGTTAAAATAACGTTTAAATCAGTCCAACAGAGATGTTTGGCAAATCTAAAATGCTCGTTGCTGAAATCAGACTTGAGTGGGGACAAACATTTTAATGATCCAACTATCATGTAAGTTTCCCTTTAAAAATTTTTTTTAAAGAGATTTTTGGTATAGGGTATGTGCATAGAGGCAAAGAAAGACAGAGAGACAAAAGCAAGAAATCACCCCTCAGGGGGTATGGCCAGGCCGCAATCCCTTCTCCTCCACTCTCCTCTCAGGATTTTGGACACACACGCACATGTACCCAGCAGTACTTGAACCACAGTCAACTACATGGAAGTCCAGCAATGTAACCATTATACCATCTGCTGGTCCCAAGTTTTCCTTTAAATTTTAAAGGGCAAAATTAAGAAAGCCAGAATAAGTTCAAAAATAAATATTAAGGGAACCAGCAATTAGCGTAATGGCTATGTCGCTGGACTCCCATGTAGTTGACCACGGTTTGCGTCACGGACCCGGTGGCTTAAAACTCACGCTGGGTGCGTGTGCGTGCGTGCCCAAGATCCCAAGAGGAGAATGGAGGAGAAGGGATTGCGGCGTGACCATCCCCCCTGGGGGGTGATTTCTTGCTTTCTGTCTCTATGTCTCTGTCTGGCGAGCACAGGCGCCCTATAGCGAAAAACCTCTCCCCAAAATAAATAAATAAATAAATAAATATTAAGTCTGATCAATTTATTTCTTTATTTTCAACTTGTTAAAGAGCATGTACGCTTGCTGGTGAGAGAGAGAGAAAAGGAAAGTGAGAAAGTATCCTCCCCCATGGGGATGGTCACGCCTCAATCCCTTCCTCTCCATTTCTCCCTCCTTTCGAGATTTTTGGGTGGGCCCACACGCACATGTGCTGGGCACGGGTCTAAGGTTATGGTTTGTAAACGAATTAGGAAATACAGTAAACAAGGACAGAAAAATAAGGAACTATGGCTTCAAGAACAAAACAAAGGAAAAAGCATGAAAAAAAGGTGAATGCAACAGCTCGAAATGAGCTTACAATAAACTGAGCAGCTGGCCTACACGTCATGATACCCCTGGCATGACTGATATGTTAGATTCATGCTAAAATATTTTAATTGCCTCAGAGTTAAGTAAGAAAGTAGCCATAAGAAATGTCAAGCTCCTAAACACATGAAAAGGTTTTAATCCTTCAGCCAAATTACAAATAATTATACCCTGCTACAAGCTTAATCATTGTGGTAGGGATTTTATATTCATTACTTTAATCTGTTCTCAGAACAAATCGTCATAGTAGTTATTATTACCCCCTTTCACATATAATGGTAACTTTTATAGAGGGCGTCTTCTACGCTCAGCCATGTCCCAATGTTCATCCAGTCCTCACCACGGGCAGTGAGGCAGGTACTCCCCTCCCCCTCTCACTGGCACAGAAATCCAGGCACAGAGAGGTTGAGAGTCTGCCCCAGGTCCGAGTTTTGAATTCAAGAAGTATGGCTCAAGAATTTATGATTTTAACTGCCCCACTACTGCCTCTATAACCCTGCCTTACAGATAAAGAAAGCGAGGGTCAGGGAAGTTAGCTTCCAAGGCGATGGAATTAGAATGGCCAGGCTAATAAGTCAGCCTTGTTTGTGGAGGGGTGGCTCCAACGCCCAAAGTTCTTACTTTCTCTAATTAACTTCTTTGTATGCTGACTAAAAATGATGAAGTCCCTCCTTTTCTTAATATAACAAGTGCCTTTCAGTGAAGTTAAGAGATAAAATCAAATACCATAAATTGCAGTGTTTTACACTAACTCACTACATTAGTGTTTTCCAAATTGTGAGTCTAAAATTAAATGGTTATAACCAGCCTTAAAAAAATATAAAACAGTACCACGTTCTTCACAAAATTAAGGCATTATTTCAGATATGTATTTATGCATATGTGTATGTCAATATGTGTTTGTATGCAGATTTCTCACTGTGGACATATTTCTAAAAACCGCTGCAGTAGGTAATGGAATTAGTAATGTTAGCACTTGAGACTGTAAGAGTCTGAGATCTCAAAAAACATATACTAATTCTGAAAATAAACGGAAAAGGTTTAAAAAGGCTATAAATAGCAATAACATAAGTAACAACACCAATAAAAACAAAACCAGCCATCTTTATACTTTGTATTATTTAATCCTCACAAAAATCCTGTGGTCTTATTTTATCACTCTTGCACATCTAAGGAAAATGAGGTATAAAAGTTCAAATAGCTTGACTAAGATCACCCAGCAAGTATAAAGGCTAGAACTAATGCTATCATTAAGCCTGCCAGACACCAGACTGTGAGGTCTTCCACAAGCTCCATGCCCTGCTAGGATGAAGTAAGTGCTGTTCTCCTAGTGCCCTTTTCCACGATCAAACGTGTGTTCTAGAACACAAAGTCTCATGCAACGGGGAAATAGCACAACACACAGTTTCCACAAGCATCTGAGGCATGCCGCCCCTCCTGCCCATGTGGCTGTCTACCTGGTTAGACGTATCACAGAAATAAAAACCGGTTTCAGATTTATAGGAAGGGCTGGCCCCATAGCCTAGTAGTTAAGTGAGCAGACCGAGGTTCAATCCCAACACTGGTGCCTTGAAAAACACACGAGGCACACATGTATGCGTGCCACCATGTATGCTGACAAGGTGGAGAGCTGGAGAAGGGATCACGGCATGACCACTCCCCACTGAGGTGTGTTTTCTCCCCCCCTCTCTGTTCTTTGTCTCCTTCTGCCAAGTGCACATGCCCTCTGGCAATTAAAAAAAAAAAACTACACAGAACATTTATTCCAAGATCAGGGAGGGCAAAGCTTTACCTCCCCTGATTTTTATGGTAACATAGTTACTAAGAGGTTAGAATGAAATTCAACTGAAATACCCATGACACTGAACCAGATAACTATATTTTAATATATACTTGATATTTTAAATAAACTTTAATATTAGGCAGCCATTCAGAAATGATGTCGTAAAAATATGTAATGATACAAAAACCATGATAGTACTGTAACAGCCAGACAAGAAGCAGGTTACAAAAGAATTTGCTACTATTTCATTAAATACAAGTAGTATCCACCACCATTCAAATTTATTTGGTTTCTGTACATTTGGATAGTAGGTCTGAATTTTTAGGGAATGCCAAATTACAGAATCTATTTGGTTGCTCAGTTCTTAATAGCGAATTATATAAGAGGTATTCAGGACCAGCAGATGGCGGGATGGTTACATCGCTGGACTCTCACATAGTCGATCCTGGTTCGAGTTCTGGATCTGGCACCTTAAAATTCACACTAGGTTGGGACCAGCAGGTGGTATGGTGTTTGAGGGCACTGGACTCCCACATGGCTGATTATCGTTCAAGTCTCGGACCTGGTAGCCTACTTTCTCACTTTCTCTCTCTCTCACTCTGTCCCTCTCTGGTCAAATTAAAATAAATAAATAAAATAAATAAGGTTAAATAAAATATTAAAAACAAAAACAAAACCACCTCACACTGGGTTTGTGTGCATGCATGCCCAAGATCCTGAGAGGTGAATGGAAAGAAAAGGGATTGTAATGTGGCCATCTACCCTGGGGAGTGATTTCTCGCTTTCTGCCTCTTTGTCTCTATCTCTCTGGCACACACACCCTAAAACAAAAATCTCTCAAAAAAAAAAAAAAGTTAATAGGTATTCATGTGAAAAAGTATCTAAAACTATCTGCTTCTTAAGCTTGGCTAGTGAGAACGGGAGAAGAGAACCACGTAACAGAAATGTCCATAAGCAAGGAAGGAGGACAAAGAGAAAATGAAACCCGAGCCCTCTAGATGTCTGTAATCCAGTGCAAGTGGACCCTCGGGCACACGCTCTGTAAGCAGTGTGAATAGAATCTTGCCCGTATTTCAGTTTCTGTTTCAGTAAAGTTCGAGTGTTCCTGAGTACATACAAGTGAACTTACCTTAGTAAATGGACATAGGGTGAAGCTCCACTGTATGTGTCTGTCTGTCTGCACTTGTACATATTTGTTTTTAAATCATTTATGGAAGAGGACTGGCCTCACAGCCTAGTGTTTAAGGGAGCAGGATTCCACATGGCTGACTATAGTTTGAATCCCAGTCCAGTTGTCTGAGAAACATGTCAGGCATGTGTGTGCACACCCCCCAGATGCCAACAGAATGGAGAAATGGAGAAGGGATTGTGGCATGAACATTTCCTATGGGGTGGTGCTTTCTCCTCTCTCTCTCTCCCTCTCTCTCTGGCAAGTGCAAGTGCCCTCTAGTGATTTAAAAAAAAAAAATTATGTATGAGGAAATGTGGAAGGCAAAATATTACCAGTGGTTATCTTCCAGTGGTGAGATGAAAGGGAGAGATTTTAATTTCTAATTTATGCTTAGATATATTTTCCAAATGCTCTTGAAGTGAACATATAGTATTTCTAGGGTAAGAGTTAGAACAACCGATACAGTAATCTAACACAAACAAACGCAGGAGCTTTGTTATCAAGCATAACGTTAGCATTTTGACTCCCAGCCTCAGCTCCACTTTGAGAGCTCCTGAGGTGAGCAGAAAGAACGCCGTCTCGCCTTACCTCTAGAGCTTTCTGTTGCAGCCGGTCACGTTCTTCTTTTTCTTTGCCAACAAACCACAACTCCCACGGTGTCAGGCTGCTTTCTGGTAAGTGCACCTGTTTCTGTCCTTGGGTATCTTCTGACGCCACCCCACTGCCACAAGAGAAAGGCTACTACAGCATTTGTACACGAAACTCTTTGCTTACTAGTCAATATCACTTAGCTGGACCGTGAGCACAAAATTGATAATGGACTTACCATACTGGGATTCTTACAAATAGGTAAGAAAACATATGAAAAAGAAGTGCAATATTTGAAATTAGTTTTCCCATCATAATGCCTTTGGAGTCCTTTGGGATAAAAATTCATTGGGATAACCCACACCCAAGTTAATTTACCTCAACACCAACCATTTTTTATTCCTAAAACTGTTACCTAGCCCAGCCATGGTGGCACAGGGGTAGCATACCACTTGGCAAGGTGGGAAGCTGTGGAGAAGATTAGGGGTTCAGATACCTGTGATTCTGGCTGGCTCGAAAAGCTTGCATGAGAGCGAATCACAGAGTGGAGACCCTGTTATGGATGCCCCACCCTTCCCCTCATGAAAAAAAATAAGCTTTCAGAAAAGAATCTTGGCCCAGCAGATGGCATAGCAGTTACATCACTGGACTCCCACATGGCCTGCCGTGGTTTGAGTTCTGGACTGGTGGCTTGAAAATCACGCTGGGCGCGTGTGCATGTGTGCCCAAGGTCCTGGGAGAAGAAAAGAGGAGAGGGGACTGTGGAGTGGCCATCCCCCCTTGGGGGTGCTTCCTCACTTTTCCCCGCTCTCTTCAGTGGAGCACACACGCCCTAAGGCAAAGATTTCTTAAAGAAACAAAAAAAAAGGATCTCATCTAGACAACTAATTCTGAATTTCAACACAGAATCCTAATCATATCATGGAGAGGACTTTTCCCTTTCTTAAATAAATAGTTCAAGAAAAATAAGGAGAGGTGCATACACAGAATGATAAAGCAAATATGTTAACAAGGTGCAGAGCGAGCAGACACTCTTTATATTCTCCTTTCAACTTTTCTGTAGTTTGAAACTGTTTTAAAATAAAAAGCCACAAATACAGCCCTTCCCTTTTTTAACATTTAACATTTTGGTTGACTTCCTTTTGCCAGTTCTTAGGGTGCACGTGACTCTCCAGTCTGCCCAGCTCCTATCATAGTCTTGGTCTACACCATGAACTTACTGTCAGTCTGTCTCTCTGCATGTGAAAAAAAAAAATTACTTTTAAGTAAAAAGAGAAGGGAAAGGAAATACCATGAGTATGTGGGTAAGGAGCACAGACACTTGGCTAGATACAGGAACCTCACAAAACTCAGGAAGAGTTCAACAATCAGCACCACCCCCTCACGCCCCTCTAGGGAAGAAAGGTTGTTCAGGACCCAAGGCGGCTCTAGAGACAGGCTGAGGAGATTTGCCTCCTCTTTGCCCCTTAACATTCTTGCCTCCAGCCATGAACTGCTTTGTCCACTGCCCTGGCACAACTTATTCCACCTCAGATTCAGCTTATTTCTCCTGCTGCTGGGATTTCTTCATTCATGCATGCCCTTGTGGAATCGGCATCCCTGCAGGAAAGACACTGTTGACGAGCTGCTACTTCCACGTGCCTTTCCTTCTCAGTCTGCACAATGACCTCACCCCAGTTCCGACTGTCACTGCACGCTGATGATGCCCAGATCAGTACCTGCAGGCCAGATCTCGTTCCAGACCCTGATTTCCCACCACCTCATAGCCCACTTGGACAGGAAATTCAATCAGCTGGAAACAAACCTAATCATGTACCACCCAACCACCACCCTCCTGACCAAGTGAGTTTATTTCTCCTTTTATAATTCTCCCATCTACCCAGTCCCCCCCACCTCGCATGTCTGGTCTCCCTGACCACCCATCCCACGTGACCACATAGTCTATCATTTCCACCTCTTCTCCTCTTCTCCAAACTTACAGCCACTCCCTGGACACAGCCGGCCTCCCTCCCTTTAGGCCTCCCTCCCTTTAAACCGAGCTCTCCACACCTGTTGCAAGACTCATCCCTCAGTTGCACCTTCTGTCACGTCACGCCCCATCTCCAAGGTCATCGGCGGCTCCTTGCCCCAGGATAACCTCCACACTGTAGCCCCACGCCCACGGATTGGTCCCTTCCTAACTCCCAGCTGTATCTTTCACCATGGCTGATCCAGGCTGTACATTTCAGCCATGCCGACTCCTGCAGGCTGGTGAGTGTGCCACCGCCTCATGCTGTGTGGTATTTGCCTAAAACTCTTGACATTCCTTTCCTGTACATGCAGACAGCCACATGAGGAGCTTAGATTTGCTAGTAAAGCAGACTGGGGTGAATTCCCGTCTGCTTCTTCCTAACTGTATACATCTTCAACCTCTTTAAGTCTCCATTTTCTCATCTATAAAAAGGAGATGACAGTAGCAGCAACTTCAAAGGTGATACCTCATGAAACAAGACACACCGAAGCTCCGGGCCCTCAGTAAGCACTTGGTGTAATGTTTCTGATTATGGGGCCAACTCCTACCCTTTCTTCAAGATTCAACCCCAGAGTGACCAGCAGTTAGCGTAATGGCTATGTCACTGAACTCCCATGTAGTCGACTGCGGTTCAAGCCCCAGAACCGGTGACTTAAATTCACTCCGGGCACGTGTCATGCGTGCCCAAGATCCCGAGAGGAGAATGGAGGAGAGGGGATTACAGTATGGCCATTCCCCCTGGGGGGTGATTTCTTGCTTTCTGTTTCTCTGTGTCTCTCTCTGTCTTTCTGACGAGCACATCTGCCACATGCCCTATAGCAAAAAAAAAAAAAAAAATCGACCCCAGAATATCTCTATTGCCTCTGAAACTCTGCAAAAATTCTGAATTAACTGCTTTGGGCTTCCTGACACTCATCCATGTGTTGTACGCCAAGAGCTCCTTAAAAAAATTATATATATAAACTTGTTTTTTATTTCAAGAGCCTAGCTTAAAATCTAGTAGGCTCCTATGAAATATTTATTGAAAAAGTAAAATCAATCTGAACAGAGCCCTTTAAAAAGTGACACAGGGACCAGCAGGTGGTGTGCCGGTTAAGGCACCAGCCTATCACACGGTTGACCACAGTGTGAGTCTCAGGCCTGTCAGCTTGATTTCTCACTTTCTCTGTCTCTGATGAGTACATCTGCCCTACAGCAAATAGAAAGTAACGATGATAATAATAAATAAACTTAAATAATTGTTTTAAGGGGCCGGCAGGTGGCATAGTGGTTAAGGTGCTGGACACCCACATGGCCAACCACAGTTTGAGTACCAGACCTGGAGGCTTGAAACTCATGCTAGGCATGTGTGCACACAAGCATGCCCCAAATCTCAAGAAAAGCATGGAAGATAAGGGATTGCGGCGTGTCCACACCCTGTGGGTGGGGGGTGATTTCTCACTTTCTCTCTCTGTTTTTCTGTGTCTTGGCGGGTATACACACCCTATTGCAAAAATCTCTAAGAAATAATCATTCTTTTAAAAAATGACCCTTTAAATATTAACTTTTTGCCTTATCCTTTTAAGTTTATGAATTAATTCTTAATTAAGGCACGCCCCACAGGGTCCACATGCTGCAGGCTTAGATCACGGGCATGCTTGCATGTACAGAAGAGCCAGGGAGGCAAACCCAGGGCCTTTCCATGTGCCACGACCTGGCCCTCTTCCCTTAACATTTTAAGTGAACTGTGGTGCCCACTATGGCTCTACCCACGATCAAGGAAGGTTTGAGCAGCAGCTGTTTATGTCCAAGGCATTTACTAAGGCCTGCTTTCCTAAGGGAGAGTGATACAAACACCAGGATAAAGTCAAACACACAATCAGCAGGCCCCAAACTGGAAAACGCTCCCATTACCTCATCCGAAGCCAACCTTAAGCCTCAGCTCAGTCCAGGCCCAGACCATCCTCTGTGCATGGCTGTTTTTACTGAAAATGCTGCGTTCACATTCGGCACACGCAGATGATGCCTAAGTCTATGGAAGAAGCCTTCCTGGCTGCTTTTGCCAC